CAACTGAACGTCTGAATGAGTTTAGGCTGAGCTGACGTCTGTGCAGCTGAACATCAGCGCAGGAAAACATCTGCATAAGTTCAGCACGGGCCAACATCAGTGCAGCCGAACGGCAGCGCAGCCAAAGATCTGCATAAGTTCAGTGCAGCCGAAGATCTGCATGAGTTCAGTGCAGCCGAAGATCTGCATGAGTTCAGTGCAGCCGAAGAGTTCAGTGCAGCCGAAGATCTGCATGAGTGCAGGCCGAGCTGACGTCATCCCACAATAACAACACACACACTGGAGTAAATGCATAGTTTATCTGATCATTACAGGAAATCCACAAAGCTGCGCCTGAAAGAAAACAGTCTGCGTACATTTAGGGACTGTAGCCTAAAGTATGAGGTGAGGTGACAGCATCGGCTTTTTACTCTGAATTCATTAGCTGAGAAAAAGGTTCGGCTGCTGCAGCCACCGAGGGATCCTTCTACATTTCATACAGCCTGAGAGAGACCACAGTTGGGCCACAGTGCAGGTTCTCTCTGATACCTGAATAAAAACTGCTTCCTGTGAAAGGAACAAAGAAAAAGGCGTTCGTTCTGCAGGTTCGTTCTGCAGGTTCGTTCTGCAGGTTCGTTCTGCAGGTTCGTTCTGCAGGTTCGTTCTGCAGGTTCGTTCTGCAGGCAGATGCTGAAAGAGAGTTTCCATCGGAGCGGGGGGGGGGCTCCAAACATCATTTGTAACCATTAATGTTGGTGTTCAGATGTTTCGGCTGTAGCTGTAAAGTCAGAAAAGAGTGATTTCTTCTTTCTGCGAGTTCCAACAGGTTCCTCGGAGCAGGTTCGTGAGCTTTAAGTGTTTCAGAGTCGGTTTTTGGTTTTTAAAGGACAGAGTTGAAGCATGGACGGATCCTCTGAGCCAGCTGATATAACACTCCCATTTTTATTTTATTTTTATTTGTGGGGCCTAAAATCGGATGAAGTTTCCACACAAGATTTGTTTTTGTGATGGAACAAACTCTGCTGTGAAGATGAACACATCCGAGCGCTTTTATTGTTTAAAGCCTGTATCTCTCTGAGCTGCAGTGTTGCCAACTATGACATCACTAAATTTGAACTTTCACGATAACAAATGTTGCTGGGCAATTAATTATCTCAGAAATTATCGCGATAAACAATAATATTGTTTGAAATTTGACACTAAATTGTAATTTTAGTCAAATTTAAGAAGAAATGATGGTTAATTTTTGTGTGTAGTACCTTTTTTGACCACCGGATGGCAGTATAAGACTGTTTGAACCGAAGGATGGATAGAGAGAGAGCGAGCAGCGTGGCTCTTTAAGAAAAATGGGAGGGAGGTCTCTTGACGTGACATAGGCTGTCTTCATTCAGTTCTCAAAACGGCGGGCGCTAGGTGTGGTTTGAGCTCTTTAGCGTTTTTCACACAAAGCTTTTAATAAAAAAATCAGTAAACAAGTTCTCAGCTTCTTTTTGCAGAGAAAAACAGCTTTTTACACGAAGGCACGGGTTTCAACCGTGAATTCTGGAGCTTCCACAAGACGGAGGTTTTTTTCTGAGGTCAGCCTGTTAGCTTAGCTCGTAGCTTAGCTTCTCAGATTAGCTGCTTTTAACGATCCAAAAACGCGATTTTGGACGATTAAAACGGATTTTAAAGAGAAAAGACAAAGGGGTCAGTGAAGAGCACGAGTTGAGCTTTTTATCGTCCAGTGTCTTCAGTAGAAAGAGAGAGACGAAGAAACGATAAAGCCGACAAACGAGATCGATAATTTTAATTCATCGCGCGATGAAATGATTTATTGTTTATCGTGACGGGCCTAACTGTGGATGAATCAAAACCGAGTTTTCAAACCTGCACTCGTAAACACACGCTTGTTGCCAGGTGATAAATCGCCAATTTTCATACGAGTCATTTTGAAGCTTTTGAAGTAGAGAATTTGAAAAGAATACTGGAAAAATATAAGTTTGCCAGCAAAGGTCCACAAATGTTTAGATTTAATTAGTTTATTCTGGCTTAAAGAAAAGTGTCACGCTACACTGTGATTGACAGCCTGTTAGCAGGTTGGGGGCGGGACTTAGCATCAGGGGTACAGCCCCCTGTTCCTACTGAGCAGACTCTGGTTCCAAAAAACACATAAAAAACAAGACGTTTGCTGTAATTTTGGAGCACGGAGGTTAACGGAGTCACTTAATCCAACTTTATTTACGTTGATGGACGCCAACACTTGCAGCCTTGTGAGATACAGGCTGAACCGCTGCTGAAAATGATGTTTTTAGTCAGGAAACTACCTTTAGGGAGGGACAATTTTGTGCAAAAAAACAAACAAACAAACACTTTTTTGGTAATTATTTGTTCTTGTCTTTGAATATTCGAGTCCACCTGTTCCGTCCCAATCCCAGTTCAAATGTCCAAAAACCGCTGCTCGTCTTTAATTACTGTCCCGATTATTTGTCCTTCGAACGAATGGACAAAAACTCAAAAATGTTCTATAGTAGACAGAAGTAAAAAGTACTTTGACCTTTTGAAGGGTATTTGTTGCAAACTAGTCAAACATGAAACGGTGCAGTTTGACCGGGTTTACGCCACTAGTTATCCAAATATTTTGATAAATCTGTCATGCAGGTCTGCGCTCGACGTAAACAAAGCACTTTACTCAACAAATCCATGAAAACATACTAATACATACAAATTATCGTACTTATTCCAAATGAATGCCACCCGTTTTCTGCCAATCCAGCTGTTTTTATAGGAAACCGTTCAAAACATTTTACTTAAGTTTATTTGTATTAGTTTGTTATTTTAGGACGCATTTTGTTTTTGACGAGTCTTTTTAAATTGATACAGGCGGTAAATCAATCAGTTTACCTGTAAACTATGGAGTGTGAGAGGGGGGCCTTTGTGTGTGTGTGTGGGGGG